GCGGGGGGTGGCCCCCCCCCCCAGCCTCCGGCTGTCCATTCCAGTTAGGCAGTGTGGCGAGAGCGGCCCCCCTGCACCCTGCGGGGCTGACAATGAAAGTGCTGGGCTGTGTTTGCGCAGGGGCTCAGGGCACAATGGGCAAAGGGCCTGACGCGCTGCTTTCCTTTCTGCCCCCGGACAATGTCCTCGCTTGGCCCAGGGATTAGGGACCCAGCCTTTCCCAGGGCACCCGCAGCCTTTGCCAGGGTTGAGGCTGGTGGGAAGGAGGTGCCAGGGTGAAGCGGGGATTTGTCAGCTGGGAGCTGCTGGGCACTGATGTCCTGGGACTGGGATGCGGGACTCGTCTGGGGCTGCATCTGCCCCTCCGCCTGCGGCTCTGCCACTGCGGGTCCCTCCTCCGGCTGGGCTCTGCCTTGCATGTCCCGAGCTGTCAGGACAGGGCAGGGACACGGGCTGCGTGTGGGGTGGGAGAAGGATAGGGGGAGCGAGAGGGGTGGTGGACGTGTTGGCACAGACAACAGCTTCGTCAGTCCAAGCTCTGGGCATTGTGCAACACCCTGTGGAGGTCCCTGTTGGCTCCAGACCAGACACTGATGAACCCCAACATGTTACATGCTCCTCGCTTGTGATGCCTTGGGCATGTCCCTTGGCCTGGCAAAGGGCTCCTCATCCTCACCGCGCACCTTCCACCCAGGCAGGGGACACCGCACACAGCGTGAGAGGACCAGCTCTGGGGCACAGCTCTGTCCTTCACCTGGGCAGTGGGACCAGCCTTACCTGGGACTGCACTGTGCCATGCTGACATCTGCAGTGTCCCCCACCAGGACCTGGGCCGGATGAGACCAACATAGGCTGGAAAGGAAGAAAAGTGCCCAGCTTAGCCGTGAAATCCCAGGTCCCTTGGCAGCAGTGTTTCTTGCAGCATCCCTGCGTAGTCCACGGTGAGGCCGGGCACTCCCCACCTTCAGCTGGGCAGGAGCCACGCTGGCCTCCGGACAAAGGCTGGCCCAGAGCATCCCAAACCTTCCCAGGAAGACCCCAGCCCTCCTGGGGGTCCTGAGCACGGGGTCAGCATCCCAAGAGAGCCTGGCAGTGCCGGTGATGGAGGGTGCAGCGTGGGCAGCTGGAGAGGGGTATTAGGACGCCTGGCATCTCTGCCCCGTTCTCAGCAAGGATCGGGGACTGAGGGGTGACAGGAGGGTCGGGTTGGGGACAGGAGTCGTGGGTCCTCTTCGTGACACCCCCCACCCACCGCTCGACAAGGCTCCGGGGAGCATTTCTGTCCCAGCTCTTAGGCTCGTTGCGGGGCTGCGCCGATGCCTGCAGGTCCCAGCAGAGGGTGCAGCCTGGCAGCGGTTGGAGCTGGCTCCAGCTAAGCGACATTGGTGGCCCTGGCCGGGTACAGGCGCTGGGGAGGGGACCCTCCGCTTGCGACGTCTTGGGGTGCTCATAGCAAGGGAGGAGACCCCCTGGGAGTTGCCTGGGGGAGCAGAGGATGGGGGGAGGGATGGGGATGCTCTCCAGGGAGGGAAGGGGACGCATGGTGTTAAGCAGACCCCGAGGTGCAGCGTCCAAGACCCAACCCCACCTCGATGGGGTTGGAGAGGGCACAGCCTGGCTCCATCCATCCATCCCTCCCCACCTCCCCCTTCCGTCTGCCCCCCCCCCCATCCCCCTTCTGCCCCTCTGTCCCTCTGTCTGTCCCCATCTGTCCCCATCACTCCCAGTGACATGTGGCACTGCCATGGCCACTTTTTCAGATGCACAAGTGACCCCTGAGTCTCAGGGGTGTGTGCGGCATGGTGTGGTGACACTGTCCTGGTTGCTGGCCAGGGAGGTGCTTGCTCAGGGTGGCCTGGGGACATCCCTCAGCATACCAGGGGACAGGTTTGGGCAGCCCCAACACCTTTGGGAAGATGGGGCATGATGCAGAACTAGCGTGCTGCAGGATCCCCCCAAGCCACTGCTGCCCCTCGCCTGGGCTCTGTGAGCCGAGGAGCGGGGCACTGGTTAGTCTGGGGGGCTGTGGGGTGTGAGGGCAGTCTGGGGTTATGGGATGCAGGACACTGTGGGGTGCATTACAGGGCTTCAGGGTGTGGGGCACAGGTATGTGGGATGCTGCAGGCTGTTACAGGGTGTGCGTGTGTGGGGCACTGCATAGTGTGCTACAGGATCTATGGGGCACTGGTGCTGTGCCATGAGGGGCACGCAGGCAGCTCAGTCACCCCCATACAACCCTTTGGATAAAACCGGGGGGG